CTGGGGTTAAACCACAACAATATCATATGCCATTTGCCTTCTTTGTACAAAGAATTTATTCTTAAGAAAACTCAAGATGATATTTTTGGTATTCGTGTGTGTTATTTACTACCAAATGTGAAGCAACAAGTTTTCCATTACTCTAGAATAAAGGGGGAGAAGATTATGCTTTCATTGATGCAGATACGGCCGACTCAGTGTGAGTGATAAAGCAAGCTCCAACTTTATATAAGAGCCTGTATAAAAAAAACAGGCTCTTTTTTATACAGTGCATGACAAGCATATAACTATCAATCATTTATAATTGGCTAAGCTCTAAAGATAGCATTCAGGTACTCTCCCTACTTGTGTTACAGCTGTGAGGGTTCTTTCTTACTTTCTCAGGCTTGGCTGCATTCTTAGCTGTTTGTCTCACCCTCAAGGACAACTTGCCCCTGCCTTCTGCCAAGTTAAGTTGCCTTCTGCCAAGCTGAGTTACTCCCTATCTATATATAAGTTACAATCTCCAGAGCCTTCCTTGTACAGTGCATTCCCAGGTGCGTTCCCAGGACTGTGTCCTTGCTCTCTTAGCCATTCTCCAACAGATACTGTTATACAGCAATCTGGAAATATCGTACTGCAGATGCAGTAGCAGAACTATGGTTCAGTCATTGAAAGAATTAAGTGCTTGATTATGAAGTGTATCAGAGAAACTGATTTTTTAGATAGTGCAATAACATCTGTATCTCAAACGTAAAAAATACTAAGATGAAAGCTTTGTAATTGAATTACATTTCAAAATGGTTAAAAGCATAATTAAATGTTTAATAAGTAACTGAGAGAGGGGTAAACTTCCTTAGCATTTTGTTAAAAATCCCTGTGTTACATAGCATCATTTAATCAGAAAAAAATTATCTTTGAAAGAATGAACAAAATGGGAAAGGTATGGACAAAAAATATCCAATTGTATGAAAAAGGTTTTGCTTGAAAGTATATTGTAGGTTTTATTCCCCTGTAAAATTCTGAATAGAGTTATCTTATATAGTTGTCAATTTATTATGCTCAAAAATATGACATTTGAAAGCTGTTATTTTATCACGTATAATGATAAGTATCATTGTCAAATATATTGATCCAAGTTATACTTTGCAGTCACTCTGTTTTTTCTGTTCTTTTCCTAAAGTGAGAGATGTGTATTAGAGGATCCTTTTGATTGGTTTTTTGGTATATAAAGCTGTGTGCTTTGCTTGATGCTTTTCTTTTGGCTGGGACATTAATAACCTCACATATGCACTCTTTATATTAAAAGTCTTATATATATAGTTTTAATGAATATGTAGAAACTTAATGTGTTTCAGAATTCCTTTTTCCCTTGTAAAGTACTGGAATTGTTCCCTTATTTTAAAAGGACTAGGGGAGGGCACTGATGGCTCTCATACGTAGGCACATAATTTCTGTCTGTTTGTTTGGAAATCATTCTTTACCTTCACTATCCACTTGAAAAAAGAAAGCTTTTGTTTTTCATGAGAGAGAGTCCTAAGAGCAGCCCCCAAACCTTATTTTAATACTAAGCTCTTTGGTGTTTGTGCCAGGTACATCTCTTCTTTGTAAGCCCATAATTTGGTTTAATTGTGCCTGCCATTAACTGTTTTATTAGAGTTTTAAATAGACTTTAGGGTCACTTTATGCTGGAAATGATGGCTTTGACTTGCTTCCAAATTTTTTTGTGAAAAATTCTGCAAGGTGACTTTATCTCTAATTCTACAGTCAGTATATTTTTTTGATGCCAATGTTTTTAATCTGAGACCTAAAACACTGTTAAAGCTTGCCCTCTGAGTCTTTTGTTCTCTCATCTTAGGTCAGTTTCCTAGAATGCTGACCCTTGAAGTTTTCAGGAATTTTTGTTCTGCGGTCCTTTAGTGCTGTGTGTGCCCATATATCCAAATGATGTGAAAAATACATAAGCATAAGGCCTTCTTTCTTAGAGGGTAGAAAAGAAGGATAGGACTTCTGTCCCAAAGGGAGCAATTTCTCTTGAGATAAATTTTTAATTTCTAAAGTATGCATTGTCTGAATTTTTGCAGCGATGCAAGTGGTGAGAAGTATGTGTTGTCCTATGGCTGCAATTTTCATATCCAGATGGATAATCTAAGATCTGAAAAGAATCTCCTGTAGTTTTTTTTTCATAAAATGTGGTATTTTATGAAGAAATACTTTATTTCATGAAAAATGTACAAATGCTTGACAACCCGCTGTGTTTTTCTCCTTTCTTTAAGATCCTCAACCCATATTAATGTTTAAATCTGAAATGTGAGGTAGTTGTGGCTCTGCATCATTTGGAAATGTTTAGTGGAAGGTGTTTATTAAATAATAAGATCTGGTCATTCTATTCCTAAATGCTAAAGGAAAAGCTTTGCTGATTATGTATAGCTTTGTGATCACCATAGCATGTTAACTTTCAGATGTCCTGGTTCCAGCTGGGATAGAGTTAATTTTCTTTGTAGTAGCTGGTACAGTGCTGGTGCAGCAGTGTGTTTGGGTTCATTGCGACAATAATGTTGGTAACACACTGATACATTACTTGTTGCTGAGTAGAATGCTAAAGGAAAAGCTTTGCTGATTATGTATAGCTTTGTGATCACCATAGCATGTTAACTTTCAGATGTCCTGGTTCCAGCTGGGATAGAGTTAATTTTCTTTGTAGTAGCTGGTACAGTGCTGGTGCAGCAGTGTGTTTGGGTTCATTGCGACAATAATGTTGGTAACACACTGATACATTACTTGTTGCTGAGTAGTGCCCAAGTCAATTGCAGCGATGCAAGTGGTGAGAAGTATGTGTTGTCCTATGGCTGCAATTTTCATATCCAGATGGATAATCTAAGATCTGAAAAGAATCTCCTGTAGTTTTTTTTCATAAAATGTGGTATTTTATGAAGAAATACTTTATTTCATGAAAAATGTACAAATGCTTGACAACCCGCTGTGTTTTTCTCCTTTCTTTAAGATCCTCAACCCATATTAATGTTTAAATCTGAAATGTGAGGTAGTTGTGGCTCTGCATCATTTGGAAATGTTTAGTGGAAGGTGTTTATTAAATAATAAGATCTGGTCATTCTATTCCTAAATGCTAAAGGAAAAGCTTTGCTGATTATGTATAGCTTTGTGATCACCATAGCTTGTTAACTTTCAGATGTCCTGGTTCCAGCTGGGATAGAGTTAATTTTCTTTGTAGTAGCTGGTACAGTGCTGGTGCAGCAGTGTGTTTGGGTTCATTGCGACAATAATGTTGGTAACACACTGATACATTACTTGTTGCTGAGTAGTGTTTACCCCAAGTCAAGGACTTTTCAGTCCTTGCTCTGCTAGTTAGCAGGTGCAAAAGAAGCCAGGAGGGAGCATAGCCAGGACAAGTGACCTGAACTGGCTAAAGGGATATTCCATATCATAGAATGACATACTCAGTATAGAAAATGGGGGGAGTTGGTTGGGATCCATCAGTTGTTACTTGGGGATGGGCTGGGCATCAGCCGGTGGGTGGTTAGCAGTTGTGTTGTGCACCACTTGTTTCTCTTGGGTTTTGTTAATCTCTCTCTTTTTCCTTTTTGTTGCTGTTACTATTACTATTGTTGTTGTTGTTATTATGATATTGTTTTACTTTATTTCAATTACTAAACTGTAAAAGCCGTGCTCAGTTGTTTTCTGTTGCTGCTAGCGGAGTCAGGTGCAGTCATGACATATGTTAAAATGACATTTTGCTTTGCTTGCTTTCCTGCTTTAGCTAAATATGTTGCAGTAAAACTTACTGGAATGTTGTCTCAGGTTGGTTATAATGTGTCTTGAATTATTTGGTGTGTGCAGATGACCTGGAGGAAGATGAGGAAGAATCTGACACGGAACTAGAGCGACAAAATATTGAAGAGCTTTATGACTTTGTAAGGCACACCCATCAGCAGGATATCCAGTCACTGAGACAGGATGTGCAGCATCCTGCATTAATTCCCATTCTGAGGCCATACCAAAGTGAGGCTGTGAACTGGATGCTTCACCGAGAGAAACACGCAAGTCCTCCAAGCAGTGGCAAGTATATGGATCTGCAAAACTTGTGTAACTGAGGAAAGTGGCATTGCATTGTCAGCAGTAATGTTTTTCTGCTGTTTAATTAGAAGTTTTGTTAATTATTTCATTACTATTTTCATGTTGTTTGGGTAGTACACTAAATTATAAACTAGGTCTTGCTGAACAGCACTTGATGTATCTTGTTCATGAAGCTCTGTGGAGGTAAACATCAGCTTTTTGTCTCTAAATGTCACAATAAGGCTGAACAATTCTAAACAGTGTGCTATTTATAGAGAAACCTCATAATAGTAACGAACACTTTCTCCATAGAAAATGCACTGCACTTCTTATGGCGGGAGGTGACCACTCTGGATGGAGTAAAAATCTACTATAATCCATTTACTGGCTGGTATGTTTTTATAGTTACTCTTTCTGAGAACACCTCGAGTTGTATGTTGTGAAAACCTTTTTGGTAGCTTTATCCTGAAGAATATAAGATAATCCATAGCTCTCATTTTTCAGTTAGCAACTGAAGAATTAGAACAGTGATATCTTTAATTTGAGAAAAAAAGACAAACTGGAGTATATAATGCAGAGGTAAATATGTAAATCTCAAGTTGAAGACATAATTCTTAAATCTTTTTTTTAAATTTCAAGAAATTTGTGGTTTAATATTAACATCCTTTTAAAGCAGAGCATGGGAGGCTTTGACCTTCTGATGCAATGTTTTTGAAGTCTCAAGCAAGAAAGCAGTAGGATGCTTTTTCTTAATCCTGGGTATTGCATTACTAATTCTGTTCCTCTTCTCATTAATTTGGTTAGAATAGAACCTTTTGATTGCTACCTTGATTTTTATTTGTCCCTATATAACTTTCAGATTTTGTCCTGAATATAAATACATTTCAAAGTTTTTGAGACTAAAGTTATGGTATGCTAAGGTTAGCAGGGCAAGGCCTATTAGAAGGTGAAAAAATTCTAAAAGTCCTGGCATAGATCTTTGTCTTGGTCAGGTTTGTACACCCAAAAAGCTTGCTAGCTTTTAGTAATCTCAGTTTGACTAATAACGCCTCACCTTACAAACTTTGCCTTGCTGCAGCTATGCTACATGTGTCCCTGAACATGCACTTCTCTGTCCACCATTCTGTAGTTCCTGACTTTCATTTGGGAATGTACTTGAATTTTAGTATTATCCGTGAATATCCAACTGCTGGACCCCAGTGGCCTGGAGGTATTTTGGCAGATGAGATGGGTCTTGGAAAAACAGTAGAAGTGTTGGCTCTTATTCTGAATCATACTGGACCAGACATTAAGCAAGATGATCTGACACTACCTGAGGTAAGGAAACCAGGATAAGAGTTATTATGAAGAAAATACTTTTCATAGAGTCATAGAATTTAGGGGTTGGAATGGGCCTTACAGATCATCTAGTCCCAACTCCCTGCCCTGGGCAGGGACACCTCCTCACTAGATCAGGTTGCTCAAGGCCTCATCCAGCCTGGTCTTGAACACTGCCACATCCCAAGGCAACCTGTTCCAGTGTCTCACCACCCTTAGAGTAAAAAACCTTTTTCTAATATCTAACCTAAACTTCCCCTCCTTCAGTTTGAAGCCATTACCCCTTGTCCTGTCACTGCAGTTCCTAACTCCAGTACCTCTCCAGCTCCCTTGTAGGCCTGTCAGATACTGGAAGGCTGCTATGAGGTCTCCATGCAGTCTCCTCTTCTCCAGGCTGAACAGCCCAAACTTCCTCAGCCTGTCCTCATAGGGCAGATGCTCCAGTCCTCTTATCAACTTTGTGGCCTCCTCTGGACTTGCTTTCAGAAAAAATGCAAATGCACTTCTGTTGACTTTATTGCTTTCTGGTTTATAGAAGTCTGGATTAAAGCCTACTTGTAATTTTATCAGTTAAAAAGACCCAGTTCTCCAAGAGAGATTAAGATGATTCTTAAATGTATAAGAGGGACAGCCCTGAGGAGTGTAGAGGGAAATATAAGCACTAAAGCACCTGGACATTGACTCACAGCAATAGCTAAAGACCACGGCTAATGGAGAGCTGCAGTTAATCAAACTGTTTCATGATGTGAGTAGTTGGGACAGACATCATAGTTAATATTTTGGGACCTTTATAAGCAGAATTATGTGACATTGCCCATGGTTAAAAGGCAGTATTCCACTCATCCAGAGGGTCCCTTGTCATTTGTAAATACAAATATATATATTTGTCTTCAAATATAACATGTCTTTGTATGATGTCCTGAAAAAAACACAAAACCAAAATTGATTTATTCCAACAGAACCTCTCTGGATGACTCCTGTGTTGTGTAAGCCAATATCAGCAGAGTTACTCCAACTATTTCAACTCACTGTAGGGCTCAAACAGTATCTGGAGTTTCATTGCAGTTATGGTTTAAGAACCCTGCAGAGCAACCAATTGGACATGGCAGAGTAAAGTGTCAATGAATACAGCTATAAAATGCTTCACAATAGAAATATTGTCACTGTGCTTGTTCCAGCTTTGACATTCTCTTTACTATCCCAGTTCTTGAATATGCATTTCCTTGGTTTCACTCACTATTCTTGAATCACTAATAATAGAGTAAAATTTTGGGAGGCAGTCCCTAAAAAGAGAAACTTAATTTTTATATGATTAACTAGGGCTTTTCATCTATATTGCTTACCTCCTTTTGTCTTTCTAGCTAAATATTAAATAGATATTTTCCTCCCCCACCAGTAACCTAGATCACTTAGAGCAATAGATTCCTGCAGTTTAATTCCAAAGCCATGGAGTACCCAAGAAGCTTTCAGGGCTGATCTTCTGTTCGCATGTGGGGTGCTGAACACTGTTTGCTGGGAAACTGAACTGAATGGGATGTCACTGTGTACAGTAAAAATGAGTTATCTAAGCAAATTAGTGAGATGGGAACATGTATCTGTAGCAGCTCATACCCATTTTCAAATGTGAAAAGATTAATGAAGTTGACAATGACTGCAGAGAGACATGAGCTAATAACTATTTAATGTTGTCTGCATTAGGGTAAGCTTGTGAACTTCTTTGTTCCACCTCAACCTGTAGAAGAAAATAAAAAGAAAATAGCTAAGGAAATGCAGCCTAAATTGAAGGAAAAAATACAATATCCCAGTAAGTATTTCTGATTACTTTTAAAATAAATTTTGCTTCTGGAATTGAGTCTTATATTGGTCACTGACTATGAGTCCAAGGCTGCTCTTCACTTCAGAATGAAATTATTCTTTTGCTGAGCACTATGATGTAGGATTGCATGCTATGAAGAAGTGATCCACAGTTAAAAGTAGGGTTACCAGCTCAGAGCTCTGTGCTACAGAGCTTCATATAACTAGAGGTCTTTGTGAGTTTATGCATTTCACTGAAATACTTGTATTTTTATATGATTCAGCAAGAAAATTGAGGAACTTATTTCTATTGCTATTAAATATTGTCTTAGAATCACTGCAAAATAGGAATTCCTAGAGCTAAAGCATTGTCAAAACTGCTGTCTGTCTTTGTTTTGCATTTTTAGATGAACATTATGTTTAGAATTCACTTAGTATGCATTCTCGGAGGTGACTTTAATTTTACCTGAGCTGTAAGTTGTTTTGCTTTGATTCTACATACAGGCTTACGAGTGATGATATTAGCAGCTGTAAAGGAAATGAATGTGGAGAAAGCAGCATCCATTATTGCAATATTTAAGTACATCAGAGCTATATATAGGTATGACACACAGAGGAATAAACGGCTTCTCAAAAGAACTCTGGAAAAACTAATTGCAGAACAGGTAATAGAACAAGTCAAAGGACATGGTCTGGCTGGGTCTTTCAAGCTGGGAAAGAATTACAAGGAACAGAAGAAGAGAGAAAGAAGCAAAGAGCAGGTAAAACATGCTGCCATAGTTACTTCAAACAATGTTGCAAAGGCAGGTCATACTTCTACCCATTCTTCATAGATTCATAGAATTTTAGGGGTTGGAATGGACCTTATAGATATCTAGTTCCTGCCAGGGGCAGGGACACCACTTCACTAGACCAGGTTGCTCAAGGCCTCATCCAGCCTGGCTTTGAACACTGCCAGGGTTGGGGCATTCACAGCTTCCCTGGGCAATCCATTCCAGTGCCTCACTACACTCACAATAAAGAATTTCTTTCTAATTTCTAATTTAAACCTTTTCTCTTTCCATTTAAAACCATTCCCCTTGTCCTCTTACTACATGCTCTTGTAAATAGTTCCTCTACAGCTTTCTTGTCGGCTCCCCTCAGGTACTGGAAGGCTGCAATTAGGTCTCCCCAAAGCCTTCTCTTCTCCATACTGAACAGTTCCACTTCTCTCAGCCTTTCCCCATAGAAAAGGTGTTCTATCCCTCTAATCATCTTGGTGGCCCTTTTCTGGACTCACTCTAACAGGTCCATGTCCTTCTTGTGCTGAGGACCCCAGAACTGGATGCAGTAGGCCAGGTGGGGTCTTACCAGAGGAGAGGGGCAGAATCACCTCCCTCGCCATACTGGCCATGCTGCTTTTGATGCAGCCCAGGATACAGTTGGCTTTCTGGGCTGCAGGCATACATGGATGGCTCATGTCCAGCCTCACTTGAGTTCTTCTTGGCACGGCTGCTCTTGACCTGTTCATCCCCCAGCCTGTGTTTATACCAGGGGTTGACTGACCCAGGTGCAGCAATTTGCATTTGGCCTTGTTTAACCTCCTGAAGTTGCCATGGGGCCCACTTCCTGGGCTCGTCTAGATGCCACTGGACGGCATCCTGTCCTTCAGATGTGTCAACTGCACCACTCGGGTTGGTGTCATCTGCAAATTTGCTGAGTGTACACTTTGTCTGTGTCATTAAGGAAGATGTTAAATAGTAGTAGTAGACGTTAAATGGCATTGGGCAAGTCTGAATGCAAAGTCTGACATTCCTGGTTAATTTTACTTTATAGGTAGCAAGGACTTCAGAAAACATTCAGAAGCAGCAGTTGGTTGATGCTAAAGCTCAAACCAAAGAATCAAGAAATAGTGATGTCACATCTGAAAATGTCATTAAAACTGATTCACGGGTGGATGTGACCATGGAAGACCATGATTATTGTGCAACGAGCAAAAATGACAAATCTGAAGCAGATCATGAGAACTCTGTTGCAGCAGGAAACTATGGTCCCAGAGTCTCCTGATTTGGATAGCAGCCTCCTTGTCTCCAGTGACGTGAGCAGTCATCCTGATTCTGAAGTTTCTAAAACTACAGATGATGTCCAGCAGGAAATTCCAGAGGTCCAGTCTTCACATTCCCAAGAGCATGCTGGCAGTAGTGTACAACATACCAGTTCTGTATTTCCATTTAATACCTGTGAATATCGTTTTGAATGCATCTGTGGTGAGCTCGGGTTGGCTGACTACAAAGCTCGGGTGCAGTGCCTGAAATGTTACTTATGGCAGCATGCAGAATGTGTAAACTACAAAGAGGAAAATCTGAAAAGCAGGCCCTTCTACTGTCCCCATTGCCTTGTGGCAATGAAACCAGTTCCCACAGGAGCAACTCTGATAATTTCTCCAAGTTCCATTTGTCATCAGTGGGTAGATGAGATCAACAGGCATGTAAGATCATCTTCGCTACGAGTTCTGGTAAGAGTATATAGCTTCATATTCTGCGAAGTTATTTTGTCAAGGCTCAGGACTTCCTGTTGACACTCTGCATCACTTCAAGTTCAGAGGTCACTTTGTCCTGTGTGTCAGAATTCTACGTTGCTTGCTGATAGTGTTATGCTTTGGCATCACATGGTGCATCAGTGTCCCAGAAAGACTGTCTGAAATCAGTTCGTAATTTTTTCTTGCCTTTTTCATTTGTGACTGGGAGATAATACAGGGGACTCGATATTTATAGCAAATGGAGCAGTTGCAATAGCAGGTGATTTCTGAGAGGGAAGGCTGCAAGATTACCAAAGAACTTAAAAAAAAAAAGGTCTGAGTACAGGTATTTTGTGTGTTCTCTCACTGGACATTTGCACCTAAGCAGCTCTCTGACTGTTGCTTCTCATTTTGTCCTAGATAAGAGCAAGTATTTCAGTAGCTAACGAGTGCAGTTTTGAATTTCCAGTTCTCAGGCCTTATGAGAGAAGTCTTGGGCCTTGGTGTTTACTGAAAATAGCACTGTTACAGCTTGAGCATTGTCTCTATAACATCTGCCGTACTTAATAGGGTGTTGCTTAGCTGGAGACCATGTGTTATCCTTTTACTTGATTTCTAGTAGCACTGTCACTAAAATAAACCTAATTATATAGAGCATACATATGTCTATACAGGATTTTTTTTTAAACAGAGTTATCACAGTATTCAAGGGTAGCCACTGTCTTTTATAATTAGTGCAGTCAAGTTTTGTCCTTCATATTTTTAGGAATCAAGACCTTTTGTAAAGATCAGGTGCTTGGAGAACCATATTATTAACATATTGTTATTTTGAATAAAATAACAGTAGTAGCAGATTGTTAAAACTTCGTATTCAGGGATATATCTGATACCTTTGGCTATTATGCTTAGATCCCCAATGTATAAATGAATTCTAGGCCTCCAATGCTGTTCATGTGAACAGTCTAATTAGATTTAGTGCAGCAACTAACAAATGTGTAAAACACCCAGTCTCCTGGGGCCCAGTCCAAGTTTTATACCAGCTTTGATGAAAATTGTCAGAAATAGATTTACATGGTAACAGTAAAATAGAAATACTGAATGTCGGTACTTTAGACGGCGTGACACCTTCCATTCTAAGAGACTGTTTTCATTAACTGCCAACTGTAAGTCATCGAGACTTGAAAATGAAAATTTGGGGTTTTTTTCTGTAAAGGTAAAACATAAGTAGTGCAGATGTTTCAAAGAACCAGTTTTCCATGTTAACAGCTGTTGCATTGCATGCGAAGCATGTTTGTTGCTATTCCAACTGCTTACAACCCATGGGAAATTCTAATGGTTTTATGTAATGGAACAAGAAATTAAAATTTATCAGTAGGTCTTGCTTTGTGGCAAGTTGTCTTTTCCTGCTGCTGTGAAAACAATCAAAACTTGGCCAAGTTAAAACCTCCAGAAAATCTATTCATAAATACTTGAAGAAATCATTATGCTTTGACAGCTATATTTTTTTCTTCCTAGTTGCTTCGGTGTGCATCTCTTGTTTGTTTGCTTGTTTCTTTTTTCATCCACTCCCTCCTTCTCTCTCATGTGTCATGTGCAATGACCTGGTTGCACATTCTTTGTTGTCCCACTCTGGGGCTGAACAGAAATTCTCTGCAGGTGTTTCTTTTGGGTGACAGAAACACTGTTGCTATATGTGCAAATGTAGAGGAAGATTATTAGTGGAAGAAAAAGTACAGTTAACAGTGAAATGATAAGTGATCATCAAAGGGTAAAGAGTAGTTATTTTACCTTCTGTATGTTCCTGAAAGGATTTGACTTAATGTTAGGAGGGAGAAAAGTACCTCTGGTAATAGAACACAAGTCAATATGAAAGGTTTATAAAAATATTCTGTTGGTGGACAGGGATTGTTTCTTACTAGGATATTCTTTTCTTCATCTGACTAGTCTCTGTAGAAATCCTTTTTGAGTTAAAACATTACCCAGAGTATCATTTCTGTTTTGTAAACATTTTGATGCATATTTCTGTCTTTGCCTAATCATCCATTACATTTCTGAGGCAAGGAGGAGAAAGGTGATACATCTGCAGTAAAGGGAGAATACTGGACATGTAACACTGTTGTTCCATACAGCATTACAGAACACTTCATCTTGTGTTAGTATTTCCCACCATGCTACTATATGAATATAGTTTTTATGAATGCTTTTGTATTAGATGAGCATCACTGCTAAAATCATGCATGTGTTAATCTGTACCGATACTTCAGCATCTTGACTAAAGTGTGTCTCTTGCTTTCCTTCTTTGCCATTGAATATGAATTTGTGTAGGTGTATCAAGGTGTGAAGAAACATGGCTTTCTGCAGCCACACATGTTGGCAGAGCAGGAGGTTGTCATCACCACGTACGATGTCCTTCGCACTGAACTGAACTACGTGGGTATACCCCACAGCAACAGCGAAGATGGGCGCCGCTTCAGGAACCAGAAGCGCTACATGGCCATCCCAAGCCCCTTAGTAGCAGTGGAGTGGTGGAGGATCTGTCTCGATGAAGCACAAATGGTTGAATGCACTACTGCAAAGGTATGACATTCCCAGTCATGCATTCATTTAGCTTGAAAAGGTTTTGACAAGTTTACTGTAAATAATGCAGTACACTTCCCTCTCCCTCTCTTAACATTCAGTGCACTCAAGTAATTTATCCTTGTCAATTGTTCTTTAGAAGTGAATTTTCTGTTGGAGATACTATTAAATGATTGGAATTTTGGCAGACTGTGAAGTATACCCAGCTCAAAAAATACTTACCATAATGTATACCGACAGTTTAAAGAACTAGGTCAGCATGTTGTATATGGTGTTTGATAGTTTCAAGCAAGACACTAGCCTGTTCAGTGATATGATTAGGAGCCATAGATATGTCCTTTGGGTCTAGAAGCTAAAATAGTCAGCAGTCTGTCTGCAGATTCAAGGGATATAGTCTGCAGGGGGAGATTATTTTAATTAGTGTTTGTCCAGTCTTTTTGCCCAAGACAGGAAGACAAAAATTATACTTACATAATGGGCTTTAATTATTTTCTTTTTTTTTAACAAGCAGTTTCTTTTGCTATCTCTTAGCCTTCTGTGAACCCTTAATTTCATTTCATTACTTGCAAGAGGACATGGCTTTTATGAGCTTTCAGTTACCTTCAAAAAAGCTCAAAAATTTTGTTTTTATAATATACCAATGCTGCTTCTAGGTCTACTAATATTACGTACTGCAAACATGTTCGGACTTCTTAAAAATAAGGTCCCTGTGTCATCAGACTGTGTTCTACTCTTTGTTTATCTTTTCCCACCATTGGCCCTGTCTTCTTTCGTTAGGCTGCTGAAATGGCACTCCGTTTAAGTGGCATCAATCGCTGGTGTGTCAGTGGCACTCCTGTGCAGCGAGGATTAGAAGGTGAGATTTCTTGTAGCAATGTCATCTGTAGGATTTCCTCATGCTGATAACTAGGTAGTGCTTTGAAGCAGTTAAAACATCTGCCCATTTTGCTCAGAATTCATTAGGTATTCTGACTTGGTAAGCCATAAACTTCACACATGTAATAAAGACATGAATACATGTATCGGTATAAAAATTGCAGTGCTGAAATCTTTTTGTTTCCTTGAGTTAGACGAATACTTTGGGGAGCAGAGAAGCTGTATCTAACAGCTGACTCAAGTCTGTTCTTCCGTTTTCAATTAGCAGAGTGGGTAAATATTAACCCTTCTCTACTGCAGCTAAAGATAGTCACCTGTGGTTACAGAATCCGTCGAACTGTCAAGTACAGCAAGCAAAGCTGCATTTGCATTTTGCATAGCCCTGCATGAACTACTGTGGGCATCAACTGCCATGAATATAAATTCTAAAAATCATGCTGAAGCTTATGAAACTGTCTTAAGTCCTTATGTAAGGGCTTAGTGAATTGAGATGTGAGGAGTAGGTAGCTGTATGTTAGCAGGTGTCATTTATCTTGTCTTTTTAGTGAGGTACTCAGATTCTGTAGACAGGCTTCAGACAGATAGAAAAGAAGAAAGGGAATGGGCTAACCTCATGTCCTTGTGTTCTTCAATGGATTTAGGAATATGGGGTACATGCTGAGGCAGTGAGTTTGAAAATGGATAAATCAGTGTAAGCATTTGTAGACTATTGTCTGGATACAAAATTGTAAAAGTCAATATTGTAGATTAATTATGGAATTGTGAATTAAATTTATAAATACACATAATAGTTGTGAGAATACATAGTTAATAAAGCAAACCCTATAAAAGTATGTGATTATACTGTCATGAATAACTTGAACAAGTCCTCATGTGTGATAGTGTTGATTTAATACATATTTGAAGTGTCATATTGTCCATAATATATGTTGGCATGCTCTCATGCCTGCCAACATGTCCATAATACATGTTGGATGCTCTACTGAGGCATCCCCCATCTCATAGGGGATGAAAACTGCTGACTCTTTTCAATCTGTGCTACTGCTGCTGTTATGCAGTGGGACAGGAACTCTGAGTAAACAATTGCTTCTTGCACGAAATGATTCCCAAGATTTTCTTCCCCTGGTCTGTGATGTATTCGGTGAATGACTTGAGGCTTTCAGCTAAATGCCAAAATTACTGTAAAGCTAACAGGATAAGGAATGTAGTCACCAGATCTGTAAGAACTATAAGATATCATCACATCTGTACTTCTGCATTGCCCACATGGAGCATTTAAATGTGTGCTTCTGTATTTTTCCCGTAACATTTAGAAGCAAGTCTTAAGTCAGTATGTCCTTAAATTTCATCCCCCAAAGTGATAGATTTCTGAATTAGGCAGAATTAGCAAGTTGCATTCTCTCAATTAGTAAGAAAACAATTAGTGTTTTCATTAATTTTTTTTTATGCCTTAGTAGAGAAGTGATTCTTCTGAATTGCAGCCCCATCTAGGAGGGAGGGTAGCAGACAGTTGGTGCACAGCAGGCTGTGAAGTAATGATACTGAGCAATATTGTTTTAGAAAAACCTGGCAGACCCGGTTAGCCATATGCAATCGTGTAATTTCTGCCTCTTGCCTCTGCTCTGAATAGCTCTGTTCTCTTCAACTTGAAATTAGGAAAGCGTCTCACAAATAACTATATTCCTGTAAGTTGTATAGAAATCTACAACTAGTTAAAGGAGAGAACCTCACCTTCCCCCACCCAGTGCCCTGCCTCGAATTAGCTATTTTGGTGTGGGAATGACTGGAAAACAAGTGGGAGGTAGAATGACCAGAATGTAGTTGCTTCATGCCTGGTAGCCTTTGTATGAAAGTTAATTATTTGGAGGCATATTGTGAAGTATTGAAACACAGAACATTGTACTAAACCACCTTCTTTTCTTGGCAGATCTGTATGGTTTAGTCCTCTTTCTTGGAGTTGATCCTTACTGGGTCAAACATTGGTGGGACCAACTGTTGTATCGACCTTATTGTAGGAAAAATCCTCAGCCTCTCTACAGTCTAATTGCGAAGATAATGTGGAGATCAGCAAAGAAGGATGTGATTGACCAAGTAAATAAGAGTTTTGAGTTTTAATATGCCTGAACATAATTTATCAATAGTTTTATTTGCAAATTACTTATTTTCTTTCTTAATTGCAGATTCAAATCCCTCCTCAGACAGAAAATATCCACTGGCTCCACTTCTCTCCTGTGGAGAGGCACTTTTATCATCGCCAGCACGATGTGTGCTGCCAGGATGCATTGGCCAAACTCAGGAAGATTTCAGACTGGACTCTGAAGCTTAGCAGCCTAGATAGAAGGACTGTGACTTCTATTCTGTACCCTTTACTGCGGCTGAGGCAGGCCTGCTGTCATCCACAAGCTGTTCGGGGGGAGTTCTTGCCATTACAGAAAAGGTGAATTTCTGTCCTTTCTTAAATGATCTGCTTTATCCAAAGCAAAACTCTGATGGTCTCCAACAGTGCAAGATCTTGCACAGTTCTCAAACAAGCCTAGTTTTAAACTTCTTCAGTTAAATGTGCAACTCTGGCACACCAAGCTATCTGACCTCAGAAGCCGAACAGAGTGCACTAGGGTTATTAGTGTAAATCTTGTGTTAAAGACCATAGTACTGAGAGGCAATTTGATTCTCCAGTCACATTTTAACCATACAATGTTGATGGATACTGGAGTGTTGGAAGTGACAGATTGAATGTGAAACAAACTAGATTATTTTTCTGTTTAAAATGAGCCCACTGATTTTCTTTTGTGTCTTACAAAACTCATGTTCATGAGTAAGAAGAACAAACAAAATGAATAAACAGAATGGAATATTTTTTTTTACTTCAAAGAAAATGTTAATGTGAGGTTGCAGGATTTTTAATTGTAGATCCAAACCTGAAAGCTGTTTAAATGCTTTTTTCTCTTTCTTTTTCTTTCTTTTTTTTGACATGCTTTCAAGATCATCTTCCTCACAAATGCCCTGTGAATGTCAGTTTGGTCTCAGAATTTTTAAACCAAAAGCATGTTGCTAGCCCTGTTGTGAAATGTAGCTGCTACTTTTTCTATCAATTAGAAAGAACAGGCTGTTTCCATTCCGGACTCTGACACTATGTTCCTTATTTAAGCTGGAGGTAGGGAAGAACTTAAACTTTTAGCACTGCTAGTGTTATTTCTACTGTTTACTAGTCACATTCACCCATTCTATTCAGTTTCTTTCTATCCTTTTAAGGAGCTTTGTGTCCATCCTACTCTTTCCTCCTTCTCATACAAGGCATCTATTGTGCCTAAGCAGCTGGAAATGACTTTGCACCAGAGACCAGTAGATGCTGTGCTATGGCACTTCCTGTCCAACAGTCTGTTAGTGTGAAAGCAAGGACTCAAACATAGGAGAAATCAATATTCTCACCCATACACTATTATTTGCATTAAAATGAGCCAGTGTAGTACAAATGAAATGTGTAAACTGAGCAGAGTATGCTGGGAACAGCTTAGTACTGTGTTGGTTTTGGTGGAACAGTTGCATAGTGACAGCTGCATAGGAACTGTGATGGAAAAGCTAGCAATGAAAATTAAATCTTTCTTAAAATCATATGTGCAAAGAAAAGTAATTTCCCAGCACCATTTACACATCATTTTTTTGTGAACCAAACTGGACTGTAGCAGTGGACATTCCCAGAACAGAGAGAGATTTGGCTCTTGGCTTTGGTTATAAGCAGGAGAATAATGAAGAAATTCACTGCTGGGACCTTTGTAGAATAAGAGAAATCTACTGAAACAAGAAAGTTGGTGCTGGAGGATGTGGATAAGAGAAACTGGTCTCAAATAAGGAAGCTGAGTTTGGAGCATAATCTATTCTAGATGACTTTACTTTTTTTTTCCCCAGATGTGTAGTGAAGGTAGTAAATGAGATTTACTTAGCAAAAAATAAAAAAGCCCTCAAAAGGGATTTTTCTAGGTTCTTCTAGTTTAACTAAGTAGAACACCCAAAATCTCTATTGTTGTCTTAATTGGTAGTCTCAGACTATATATTAAATTGCATATTTTATATGTACATTCTTTTGCTTTTATCATTTTTCTTGAAACTGCTGATGGTTTTGAAAAGGAAAGGTAAGTAGTAATGGTGGAAGAATAAGGATACACAGGTGCTATGTGTATTTACCATTACCTCTGCAGAATTCAGCTAATTATGAATAGTGATTATATTGATTTAAAGCCTGCTCTGGTGTAACACTGTAGTATAAACCCAAGAATCAGTTTCTGCAACTGAGCAATATTGCAGGCAGGGTAAAATAAAGGCCTAGGCAAGAACACCCTTCCAGCACAACTTGGACCCAGTCTGCACAGTGTTACTTTGCCTCTTCCTGAGTTCCACAGTGCTGAACACCAAATAGTAAACACTTCTGCTGGAGGTGGACGAGGCTGAGGAGCAGAGTTTCAGGGCAGGAGGGTCACGTCTGGTCTCACAGCAGCAACTGGTCATAGAAGCAGCCTCAAGTCAGCTGTTGTAGGCTGTTCCTGCTACATGGCAGCCACAGTCAGGGAGGACAGGAGAGTAAACACTCTCCTGTCTCTTCATGTTGGTCCTCTTTGTGCTTAGATTCTTTGTGCTGTGGCCTTATTCCAAGTTATCCTTCAAGCTTCCTTCTTGCTGCTTTCTCATTTCTGTTCTTGCTTCTCTATCTTATCTCTCCATTTCCTCTATTTTTATGCTAAGCAAATTCTCTTCTAAATTCTTCTCATAATTTAAAAATATGACAAATGTTGAAAAGGAAGTTTAAAATTTTTTTTGCTAATCTTCTCTGTTCTCATTTCACACATTTTCCTCTTTACATTGACACTTCATGTTTTGTGTGTTTAGATTGGTAGCGGAGGGTAGAAATGTAGTCTCTCAGAGCTCTTTTCATCTGAACAGCTTTTAGCAAAATAAGGTTTATTTTTGCATATTTCCAGTTCACCACTGTAACAGAAGGAGCAAAATATTTTCCCCTGTGAAGAATTATTTTACCTAGTTCTAATTTTCTTCTTGCTTCTTATTTATTTCTATTTTTTAGGAGATGTCAACCTCTGAACATACTCAAGTTAGGGTAAAGCTCTAGCAGGAAGAAAAACTGACAACTACTAAGGTTTTTTTTAATAAGTAAATAAATATTGAGAAAACATTTGCACAGTGTTGGATGCATGGAACTGTCTTTAATGCTGCACAGCATGACAGTTTTACTGCTCTAGTATTGTGATTTTGTTTCAAATTTGAGCCATTTGGTCTCCATTTCAGCACCATGACCATGGAGGAACTGTTAACATCTCTGCAGAAGAAATGCCGAACAGAGTGTGAAGAAGCTCACCGACAGTTGGTGTGTGCTCTTAATGGCTTAGCTGGTGTCCACATCATTAAAGGTAAGACCAGATGGCTGTAGCATATTCTTTACTCCTTTTACAAGTAAAGAATATGCTACATCTGTGTTTACTGTGAGGATAAAATAAGTCCTATGTGTGTAATTGTACTTAACCTGCTTCTGTTTTGTCAGTACTGCTCTCCGGGCTTCCTTTGTGCTCTTTGCTATGCAAACTGCTATGCTGACTATGAAATCTCTTTGCTGCTGCCTGCTATACAGCTCTGACAATGCAGATTTGGTCTGGATTATGAGGGGAAAAAAGGCTTTGAATGGGAAACAAAAATAATTATATTAATCCTGAATGTCCCACTAAACAAAATAAATTAAAATGATTTAGTTATGCATGTGAAAAAATGCCTCTGTTCCAAGTTCTTCTAAAATTGACAAGCTGTTTGAATTTTTCCAGCTTGTGTTAGTCTTCTTTCAAAGAGGAGAATAAGCAAACTGCCTTTTCTCCTACTTGCCTTACAGAAAAGCTGCATTCAGATTCTCTAATCCACAGTTTTGAAATACTTTGTTGTGATTGTAGGATGGAGATAAGTCTCAGGTAGAATTAAGTGCTTAAAAAGATTTCTGTACAGATGAAATACTTTGAAAATACACTAGGAGCAAAAATTAAGTTTGGCCTATTTTGAAAAGCAGATTAATGAAAATTGCATCTGGTGAGAAACAAAAGCAGGACTGAGGCAGATCTCTGATCTGTAACCGCCCCCAGTATTGCTGTTACAGTCTTTTTTATCAGGCAGGAGGCAGCACACCTTATATAATAAGTAAAGCCATTTAATTCTTAGTAGAATTGAAATCTTATAGGTCTAATTTTTATTAGTCCAGATCTAATTGTTACAGGCAAAAAAAGAGTAACAATCACACTTAGTTGTTTCCACTGCTTGTCCTGCTTTTATGGTCACCTTTCTACTTAAGCCCTGCTGGGTCCTGAGATCAGTGTTTTCATACAGGTGGTGGCAGTGCTATGGTTAGTTGTCACTACCTTCATCAGGAGGAATAAGATGTTTGTGTCCATGGTTTCTTTCTCACACAAGGATCCAATTAGGGTCATTTTTATGTTTGCTAGCACATGTTTGCGCCTTTCTCTTTCTTCATTGGTCTGCAGCTCCATGCAAACACCAAATTTAGTGTACATGATGCCTTTTATGAATGTTACATACTCTTTCTTTGTTCTCTTTGTTGCCCCTAAAACCAGTTTTGTCCAGCTCTAAGTCTGCCTTTCTTTGACTGTGGGTGAGTTGTTTATAGCCATGGCTTTCTTACTCACTGCCAAGCCTGTGCACCATCTCTTAGCATCCCATGGCTGTATTCTACACTGCATCCTGTATCTTTACTTCTCAAGGCCTCTGCTATTGTTACTAGGCCTGTACTTCTCTACACTACATCATTGTGTTAGTTGTAAATATCTCATTCTACATAGAATAATTGCTTGTTACTGCTATCTATATAAAGTTGTCTTTGTACTACACAAAGATAAGCAAAAGTTAAAAAAAAATATTAAAAATCAGCCACAAACACCTAATGAATTAAAGAAATTACTCTTACAGCTAAGCCAAGTAAAATGTTCAGGCAGGTCAAGAAAAATTCAAAAGAGGCCTGACAAGCTTCAAATTCAAAGGAGGCCTTGCAAATTCAGCACATACTTTTGGCCTGTGACTTGTAATGGCAGTCCTGTATTGCAGGACTACACCCTTACCAACTGGCAACTCTTTCAATCTAAGAAGCAACAAGTCTTGTTGACATAGGGTTGTTACACTAACAGACACATAGGAAGATAATTTTTGGTTTAGTTTGTTACCTTCCTTTATATTGTCCCTGTACTTCTCCACGTTTTAGGAGTCTTTAAGACTATTACTGGCCAAAATTAAAATGGATTTATTTTTTTCTCTGCTTTTCCATATGCAACTTCAATTTTCTATTTCTTTTTTTAATGATATAATCTGAGAAGTGACTGTGATGCTGGCAGCTTACATCAGTAGTTATGCTCCCTGCATGTACTTAATCATTTTTGCATTTCTGAAGTATGACACAACTTTCATTGTTTTCACTGGAAGATGAATAATGTATTTGCAGTGCAAATTTAGCAATGCATCACTGCAGTGAGTTGTAGATTTTTATTTTTTTAGTGCAACATGTGAGAGCTTTTGGACTTACACAACTGTGAATACATATTTTAAGATTAAGACGTGTACAGATCTTACAGTCACAAAAGATATTTAGTTTGGAAACTGCTTTAATCTTTGTAAAATATAATACTTTGTCTTTTACTGGGGTTTTTGAGTGGTGGGAGTGGCACGGAATGAATAGGAAAGATTTGCTTGAAGACAAGCACTTATTATACAGCCTCTCTGAAAACATCTTGGTATGTTTCAAGTGTTGTAACACTTGTGAGGCCAGTCATGGCTGCTCATATATTTAAAAACCAACACAATATGTCTGTTTTTGTTACTCTTTTTTAACTCAGGAGAATATGTGTTGGCTGCGGAGCTGTACAGAGAAGTATTAAGATCATCTGAAGAGCACAAAGAAAAGCTCAAAACAGATTCCTTGCAAGTGAGTGAGCATTCAAATGTAAAGAGCCGTAGTTAAGAACTGGAGTACTTAGAGATCATTTAACAGGTCAGCCTTTTCTTCCTCCCAGTGTTGTGCTGAATGACTTTCAGCCTGCTGGTTATCACAGTCTTTAGATAGGAATCTGTCCAGTGACCTTCACATTTCCTTTGTCTTTTCTTAAAAAGCTACAGTATTTCTAAAAACTTGCTTGTGAGCCTTCATGGTGTCCCTGAAGCAGTGTATGATCTCCACCTGCTGTTCTGCAATAAACTTTACAAGCTGAATTCCTAGGCTTGTGCATGTGACTGTGACTAGTTGCGTTGATGGTCCTCTATTACGTCCTGCAGACACAGGATGCTGGGTTTGCATTCAGTGATAATAATGTGCCAAATGATACAGCATAATAAAACTGTTGCACTGCAGAAGATGAAAGGGCATCAAAACCTGAAAAAGAATCGAAGTGGATTTTCTCTTCAGGCATTTGCCTTCATGCATTTTTTAATACTATATTAAAGATATGTATATATTTTTCTGGTTAAAAATGCAATGGCTCTCTAAGTAACATCTTTGTATTTTTTCAGGAAGTGTCAGTTCTAAATTGACCAAAATTCCCTTAAGCATAACAAGATAATTAAAATGTTAAAGACAGATAAATACAAAGTGATCAGTTGCCTATTTCTTTGCTTGCTTTGCTAAGTAAGTTGTTGTTTGATTATATTGCATGTGGCCATCTGATGTCTCTGTTGCGCTTCTTCGATTATTCCTTTTCCTTTGTGACTTCCTTCACAAAGCACAGCCATATTAGCATAAACTTGTTAAGTTACTCATAACGTTGTTAATTAACTGTTTTACTGGATTATGCAAATCAATAAAGCTCCTCCCCTTGCCCCCCCCCAAAACAGATGCTGCCTAATACTGCCTTGGTGTAATAAAACTCAGTTTCTGCTGAGTACTTCTCAGCTTTGTAGGCTTAGCTCTTTAGGATAATGGCAAACCAGTGCTGGCCAGTGCTCCTCTTTGGCTGAGATAATAATAGGGCAAAGGTGAATCCAGGAGGTGAAAAGGGCACAAGTTCATGATAGTGGAAGTTACTAGTATGTGTTTCTGGGATCTGTGCAGGTAGTGTAATATTAGGGATTTCGGATGTGTACAGTGAACCTGGGGAAGAGGAACAGATTTGCCTTATATTAACAATCAAGTTTATTTTCCAGAAAAATGAACAAAAAGGTCATGTTTTATTCAGCCATCTTTTATTTCAGAAAAATGAAAAATATGAAAAATGGTTGAAGCTCTTAGGAGCTGGTGTTTACCTTATTTTTTTTTTTGCCTTAGATTGGCTAAGTGAATTGTCTCCTTATAATATTCTAAAAGACATTTACAAAAGGATGTGCCCTGAGATAAATAATTTATTTTCCATAATAGTCAAGGGCTGTTTTAATTAGGAGGATGAGTATGGGGCAGAATCTGATGACCTGGTATCAAACTTGCCTGCTGGTTTCCTTTGGAGGTGCTGAAGGTCTTTTTAATATTTCATTTCCTGTCTCAGTAAAATGAGGAAAAGAACATTTATTTTCTTTCTAAGATGCTTCCAGATTAACAGAGAAAAAACTAAATGCATGGTAATTTCTTGCTGTAAGCTTTCATTGCTGTTCAGGCTTTTCCTGCCACAGATGTTGCAATGGATTTTTTTCATGATTGCTGTTGACTTTGTGTATCTTTAGAGACTTCATTCTACACACAATTTGATGGAATTGTTGGCAAAGCACCCAGAAATTCCCCCAACTTTGCGTGATAGCCGACTCGCAGAAGAGGTAAACATAGTTTGTTTTTGTATGAATACATTTTGAAGAGCTCATCTAAATGCCTGAGTCCTGTCTACTCTAGGTAAACTGGGCTCTGTAACAACAATATGATTATCTTAATAGCAGCAAACAAAAAGAAGAAAGACTTAATTAAACACATATTACAATGCACAAAATAAAGGTATCGAGTGAAATGAGTATATTATGGTGAAAGGTACATGTTACTTGTGAGTTGTTTGTTCATCAGCTTTTAAAATATGAAATAAACTGATACTGCTTGTATTGTGGAGGCACTTGTATACCAAGAGGGGTTTTCCCTGTCAGGAGTGATTTCTAGGAAAAAATTAAATCTGATGCACCTAAAATAGTGAAATTTAAGCCTTTCTTGTTATTTTATGAATAAGTTTTGTATGTAAGTAAGTTCTATTGTCCTGTTCTCAGATTATTCTGGGATCTTTTTATCATTTGCTTATTCAACACAATATATTTATCATACAGATAAGTAAAAATTGTGAGTTAAATTCCAGTTCCCTTTTGTAATGCACTGTATTGCTATTGTGTTGTTTCGGCTCGTCCAAAAGCAATGTTGCATAGTTAGCATCTTTGTAGTAATTTGTCTTCTCAAATGTTTTTGGGGCTTAGCAATAAATGCTAGAGGAAGAAAAAGAATGCTAAATATTGTTTACAAATAAAAGTGGGTAGTACGTAGGTAGCTAACCATTTTAAAACATTATGGTAGCTGGGGAGTTTTTACATTTTCAATTACTCCTCCTAAATATGATTTGTGTATAATTTGAGTTCTTATTTCCAAACAGGCAGAACAACTTCGACAACATTATATGAGTAAATCCAATGCAGAAGTTGCAGAAGCCCATCAGGCCTTACAGCCAGTTCTTCAAACCATTCGGGAGCTCCAGAGAAAGGCAAGTGCCTCTTACATATTTTGCCTCTGAATTTTGAGATTTTTAAAAAATATATAATTTTCATCTGTTTATCCAGAACTCCATCTATGACTTCTAACGGTTTTTGGAATGGGTCTTTGGCAGTATCTGTTCTCACTTCAGGCCCAAAACATACTCTGGGTACTCCACATAGAACACACAGTACTTTATGAACAGATGACTGAAAACAGAAGTACATAGTGGGAGGATTCCAGTGAAGTTGAACACCATTCTTGATTTTTAAATGAACTGTGCTTCATTTATAATTTGGGTAAATAAGTTACAGGTTTGGGCCTTGAAACATTTCTGTAGTGTATCAGATGGTATTTCAGTTACTTTCAAAGGAACTGTTCTTTGACATGCATTTAGTCGTTGTGTGTAAGGCCTAATTGTGTTTAGTCAATATGACAATTCAGATTTCATGCAAAGGTGCAAACACTTAATGAACTGATGAACACCTGAGTTGAAATGCTACTTGTCACTTGCATAATAGTAAAGAAATAATAAAGAAATGAGGACAAATGGCACATGAGGGAGTAAACTGATGCATCTTCTATCACCTGTTAAAATTATAAGGTCACTTTGGTGTTGCTCTGTTAATTTCATAAAGAGCTTGCTGTCTTGGATTAAATGATCTTTTCATCTCCTTTTGAGAGACAGAAGGAGGAAACTTTGAGATCACAGTATCTCTGTGTGGCTGTTCTGTGGATATGGCCTTGCAGAATCTTACTACTCAATCAATTTGAGGGTGTGGTAGAAGAGAATGTAGAATGTTGGAGAATGGCGGGACATGATCCTGCGTATGCACCTGGGGAAGGCCAAAAAGAGCTAGGCCACAGTCCCCTGGGAACGCACAGACACAGTCCTGGGAACGCACCTGGGAATGCAGTGTACAAGCAAGGCTCTGGAGATAGTAACATATATATAGATAGGGAGTAACTCAGCTGGGCAGATGGCAGGGGTAAGTCATCCTTGAGGGTGAGACAAACAGGTTCGAGAAAAACAGCTAGGAATGCACCCAAGCCTGGGAAAGCAAGAGATAAGCCTCACAGCTGCAGCTGTGAGTAGGGAGAGTACCTGAATGCTATCTTTAGAGCCTAGCCAATTAAAAATGATTGATAATTGTATGCTTGTCCTGCACTGTATAAAAAAGAGCCTGTCGGACAATAAAGATGGAGCTTGCTGTATCACCCACACGGAGTCGGCTGCTTGCTTCCCCGCGCGGAACCTTCACCTTTCCCAACAGTAGAAAGTTCCTTAACGATGTGGAGGGAATATGTTTCAATCATACTCTTATCCTCCAGCTTTCATGGAATTAACCAGTCTGTGTTTGACTGTAACCTAAAGACAGTATATGCCTCTGCTGCAATAAGTAAATTGATTTTTTTTTGTTTTGTTGAATGTTCAAGGATAAATCTCTTTTGCATACAGATACATTCAGGCTCTCCTTGGTGGTTGGATGTCATCCAGACAGCAATACAGTATGCCGTCGATGAGGAGCTTGTACAACGTGTGCAAAACGAAATAACCTGCAACTGCAAACAGGAGATTAACCAACTCTCCATGGCAGAGAAGTAAGAGAATAACTAAAATAGGCTAATGAATACAGTTAAGTCTGCTCAAGTCCTCTTATCAGTTTGTGCTAACAATTGTGATTAAGTAGCAGACATTTTTGTTTCATAGCACCTGGGCTGCCATTATGTTTCAAAACCAGTCTCTGAAAAAGCATAAATAGATAAAAGACTTGGAAAGAAAAGTAGGAAAATTAGTATAATCATTCTTTGAAATATTCTTCTGTATTATCTACTGTGGTTTTACAGTCTTTGCTGCTCATGCAACTGCTGAGCAAGACATTGAAAGTTTATTGCATTAAAATTGAGAAACCTGTAAAAGAAACTGACTTGCTTAAATGGAAATTGACAGACAGTATCACAAAATCCTTGTGTAATGCCATAAAATAGCATCACTGTTTTTCTGAGCCAAGAATTTGGGGCTGGTTTTGTGTTAGAGACAACAATACCACTGGTTTATGGGCGCAATTACAGAATAATGGCTTTGGAAGGAACATCTGGAGGTCACTAAGGCCAACTCCCAACCTACAGATCCAGACCCATGCTCATTCCACCCAATCAGGTTGCACATTCTGTTAAGTTCAGAGTATCTCCACATAGAGGCTATTCAGTCTCCCTGCTTGGAGCCTGGGCCAGTATTTGACCACATGAAAGTCCTTCTATCTAGTTAGTATCTCCTGTGTTGCATCTTGTGTCCATTGTCTCTTGTCCTTGGCTCAGTCTTCTCTTTACCTTACAGTTAGATAAATGTAGAAAGCAATAAGCTCTCCCCTGAGCAATCTCATTTTAAGGTTGAATAAACCATTTTCTCCAAGCCTCCTCTTGTACGTTCTGTGCTGAAGCTCTCTCAGTTGATCACAGAAAAGGGAGACAGAGGAAGGACAGTGTTCTCATAGTTTAACTTCTGGCAGTTTTCTCAAATACATGAACAGTCCTTATGCTCTTAGCATGATCCTCTGGATCATTGAATTTTTGTTAAATTTTTTATTATATTTATGGTATATATAAATGTGTTTATAAAATGTGTATGTGTGTATAAATTTAAATACTTAAGGTATGCACATATGTTAATTCAATATGTAAAGACACATCCTCCACTATGATTACTCTGTTGTCATGATCCCAAAAAGTCACGATTTCTTGCCCTCACTGGAATGAAACATGTCTTTTTTACTTTTCAGTACTTAGCATAATTCTATTGAGTAGTCTAAAGATGCAAAACTCTACCTCTTATCTTCAGAACAAGAGGCAATGGGCACAAACCGAAACACAGGTTGTTCCCTCTGAACATCAGGAAACAGTTTTTTACTGTGAGGGTGACTGAGCACTGGCACAGGTAGCTCAGAGAGGTTGTGGGGTCTCCACCCTTGGAGAAACTCAAATGCCATCTGGGCATGGTCCTGGGCAACCTGCTCTAGGTGACCCTGCTTGAGGAAAGCAGTTGGACAATACAACATCCAGAGGCCCCTTCCAACCTCAACCAGTCTCTGAGTCTGGAAATGAACGTTTTATGGCTGAGTGTTGTTTGGTTAAAATAAATTTGAGGAAAAGATTGTTTGCAAGTTTATGCAGAACTTGTATACCTATGCATCTACCTGTATGTTTGCCTGTGTCACACTCAATTTCGTTTTTTCCTCAGTTGAAATTAGCTATATAGGAAGTGTCTTCTTAAATTGTCACTGCTTACAGGTTTGTATAACTTTGGAAAAGCTATCTGCAACTCAACTGTTTCTTTTACAGAATAGGAATAAAACTTATTTCCTTTTCAATGTATTTTAGCATATGCGGTAAAATCTTAGAAACCAGAGTCTTAGCAAGTATTGCTGGTCAGTGGTGGAAGGAATAAGTCCTCTAGTTGAGGTTAATCCAGGGTATAGTGTGGGCAGATTTTATAAAGCTGGTATTATTTGGCAACTGATTGTATTAACAGCAGACTTTGTGATTGCAATTTACATTTATTTCCAGACTACCTGGTGATGCAAGCTTGTCTATTTTACTTTAAAACCCATGTTACTTAAGTAGGTCATATTCCATGCCAAACTTCAGTGGTGGTGTTAAACCTGTGCTTTTCTCTCCACACTCTACAAAAGGGATGTTTTGGATCAAATTTTACATGTGGTGTACATATGCACTGTCTTGTACGTGAATGCCAGACCTTGTAGGAATGGTGCACTCCAGCAAGAAACCTCTGTTCACAGGAAAGCACAATATGGGAAGTGCTTAACTGGTGGTCATGTTTCCACTCCAGTCACAAAAGACAGCTAGGTTTTAGGAGAACAATTCAGTGTTATGTCCACTTAATAATTTTAACTTTGGAAGATAAGCTGCAGAACGCAGGATAGCACAGGTGCACGTGTCTGCTGTGAATTGCACAGATGTATTGAAAATCATTTTGTTGGTCAACAGATACAGGTAAGACCATTAAGTGTGTGCAATTGTTTGCTTTTAGCAGATTTGCATTGTGGACCAGAATGTTGTAGGTTGGTGCTCACTACTATTATTTGGTCACACTTCTCAAGTCTCGGGAAGAGTCCATTCTACAAATACCAGGCATCGTCTCAGGGGATACAATGGAATGATTTCTGACAGCATTACATGCAGTAGTAATAGGCATTTACTTATGAACTTTGTGTGTTGTTCCAGGCTGCTATTTAGCTATTTCTCCTCTACTTTAAAATGCTGAATTAAGTTAGATTTGGTGACTTGGTATGCAATGATTTCCCATTTTCTTTAAATCAGATTCCGTGACTGCAGAGGCCTTCAATACCTGCTCACAACTCAGCTGGATGAAGTGAAGAAGTTCCAGAAGATTGTGAGAGAAGCAGTGAAAAACTTAGAAGGGCCTCCCTCTAAGCAGGTTATTGAGGCTGCCACTATCTGCCATTTGCGACCTGTTAGGCTTCCGCTTAACAAGTATGTCCTGAAAATAGAAAATATACTTTGGAAGTGTACTATTAAGTTTTAATTTGTTTGAAATAACAGATTAAAGTCTTGGTTCTGTACTCAAAGGCTGTATGCACACAGATATCACAGATCTATGTGTTAGAATCATGACCTTTGTTTTTATTATTATAAAATATTTCCCAGTGAGTTGTTATATTGAGTGTATGTAAGACTAAATAGTTCTTTTTTAAGGCTTTTGTGTGGTTTTATGTGTTGGAATTTTGGGACTTATTTTGGTTTCTGATGAAATAATGAGTGCATCTGTTTTCAATTTTCTGTATTGCAGCTGTGTCTTTTGTAAGGCTGATGAATTGTTCACAGAATATGAGTCAAAGCTCTTTATGCATAGGTAAGTTCATACCTTTATAAATTTCTTACTACTCAAAAAAGGGGGAATTGGATTGGTTTGTATTTTCTACTTTAAGTTTTCTGAAATAGCTTTATGAACAAATTACAGCAACTTCCTGCCAATGGCCTTGGTAACAGTTTCATTAGGTTTAATTTCCTACATAAATTGCATTTGAACAAGTTGTGTAGGAGGAACGAATACATGCTACTGTCTCTCAAGCTGCTGTAATATGCCCATACATTCAAAATGAGGTATTGAGGTGTTCAGAAAGTGTGTGTATAAATACAAGTATGCTAATTAAACATATAATCCTTTTTGTGCATATGTTTATGTGCAGTCCAGTTGCAAGTGGTATAATGCCATCCTCATTTAAGGCTGCAGTGAGGGAGCAGATTTCAGACAGGAGCATTTCAGCTGTGAGCTGAAAGAAGGGTGACACCAGCACGTGGTGTGAGAGAAGTGTGCATAGTGGACAGCACTAAGAGGGATAGATTACAGCCCTCTGCATGCTGTCTGTTTGACTTTTATATCCCTCACAAGGTCAAAATTGGTTTCAAAAGTCTTGAGGTCACTGCGAAAATATTTTTAAAAGTCTTTACCGGTGGGAGCTGTTACCTCATGATTGCTGGACATGGGAAACATCAGTGTGTTTCTGAATTAGCATTATTTGTCAAGGAGGGAAGTGGGAAGCTGTAGTGTTCTTAGATAGTGCAATACACAGCAAATTTTGCATCAGACTTTTAACTGCAACTTTTGCTTATATAAAAAGTCAGAATGTAACATTAATCATTAATAACTACTGAAACATAATTCAGATGCGTAAGCCTTTACAAAGCTGCTGATGATTTTGAGCTGACAAAATAGCCTGTAATGTTGTTTCATTGCTGGTACTGAGGTCACAGTGTTCAAAGCAAGCCTTTGGTCATTAAGTGATAAACCAGCTGTTTGTTTGTTTGGCTTGCTTTGTCCTTTAATCAAATGTTAGAAAGCTGAAATAGTTGATGAATAAGTAGAAGTGGATGTGGAAGTACAAAATCAGTGATAAGTGCGTTGTTGGGTTTCTTTTTAAGCGTTAAAGGCCAAATGGCAATATTTGAGGAGATGATAGAAGACCAAGAAGGGCTTGTTGATGACCGTGTGCCCACCACAAGCAGAGGACTATGGGCAACCAGTGAGACTGAACGTGCCTTGAAAGCTATTCTCTCCTTTGCCAAAGCTCACCGAATGGATGCTAAGCTAACGGAAGAGGGGAGCGTGTTTCTGGAGCTCTTTGAAGCGTGGAAAAAGGAATATAAGGTACAGTAAATGAGATGGTGACAAAACAGTTGTGTGGCCATTTTAAGGTAATATAAACCAATTGAAGCTGAATATTAACAAATCTAAGTTGTATTCCTGAACTTAGGCTTTGCCTACACAAAGCTTTCCCACAGTGCTTATTACAGGATTTGATTTTAAATGGTTTCTATATGATTTAAGAGTTTCTAAAAGCTATACTGGCTGCTAATCAAATTAGTAAGCAATGTAATTGCATCTATTAAGACAATATACAGATAAAATTAAATGTGTTTGTCTGCTTACTTAAATCAGAATGTAGCAAGACTCAGCAAATCCAGTGTTAGTCTGTTCTGTAATTCAGTTTGCCTTCAGTCTTCAGTCAGATGTCCTTTCACTATTGTTTTATTTCTTGGATCTTGTTTACTATGTAACCTGAAAAAATTACTCTCCTGTTTGGATCAGAGAGAACTACCAAAGTGACTGTGGCTTTCTTTATGCATCCCTGTGTGTCTGTGTTTCCTTGCAGTGAATACAAACTGGTGATAGGGAAGGGGTAAAAGCACTCAAGATTCTCATCCTGTCTTACAGCTTAGGTGTAATCAAACATGCTTTCTCTTGAATGCTTCTCATTTTTAATTAACAAGACTTCAGCTTCAGTAGAATGCACTTGGTGCATTAGTGCCAGGTTTATTGACTTTTGTACATTCTTTTGGGATTTTTGTGCAGTCTGACAGGAAATTCCTGTTGATCTACATCTAGCTACAAGGTTGATGCTCTGTGAAATAATCCTTATTTTATTCAGTGTGTGTTTAGTTTTGCAAGGCATTTTGTTTGTGAATTTTCAGTTGCCTTAGTTATTGTAGTACTAATAGTTGTAGGAGAAATGAGCGACAGCTATTTAAAGTTGTTTATACTAAGAGGCTGGAAAATAAAGCAGGCAAGATGATGTCCACACCGTTTGTTTTCCTTTGGAATTTGTTGTTGTTGTGGCTGAATACTGTAAAGAAATATTATCTAGCTCTCCAAAAAGATTCTCACACTTTACCTTGTACAGCAGAGTCATCTAAAGGGAACTCAACTCAGTTCTGCTGCTAATTTGTTTGGGGTTTCCTTACAGTTACTTCATGAATATTGGATGGTGCTTAGGGATCACGTGTCTGCTATTGATGAACTGGCAATGGCTACAGAACGGCTGAGAGTGCGTCATCCTGATGAGCCAAAACCAAACCCACCAGTTCTCCACATCATAGAGCCGCATGAGGTAAAGTACTGGGCAGCAAACAATGTTTTATTTTTCTGAAAGAACCCTACCTCCTACAGAAATAAAATCTGTATCTAGATCTCTGTGTAAGGTCTATAATATGCCTCTGTTTCTGTTTCAGAAAGCCTTGTTGGAGTGACAAGATCCTGCCTGTTTTTACATTCAGTATATGGGCCCTTTTGAGCTTGTAACTCTTATTTTGATATATTTTTGTTTGCCTTCTGACAGAGTGGCAAGTTTCCAAATACCTGCTGTCCTTCTAGCAGCAGGTGAATGGCTCTGGGACCATTCTCTAAAATTGCCCAGTTTTCCAAGCTGGTGGAAAATTAAGTTGACCTGATTCTTTACCCATATTGCTACTTTCCACAGGGACCTAAAAAGCAGCAGTGAACACCTAAAAGACAAATCTCTTTTTCAATATTTTGGAATTTCTGAGCTACCTCTGAGAGACTTCCTGTTCATGACAGAGAAAATGTTGTTTTGATTTGACCTCTTAAATTATCCTTTTTTTCAACCAATAGTAATACGCTTTCAATAGAAACATTTTGTGCATTTTTTTCTGTGAGATTCAGTGTTAGATAAAAGTGCTTCTTTTTTTTTGTGGGGAAATAGGTATTTCATCTGTTTATTGAAATTATCTTTAAAATAGAGCACTTTGTTAAATATTCATTAAGCAAAGTCTTAAGATGCTTTTATGCATATATATATATATATATATACACACAAAAACATGTATTACTTTGGCCTTCTTCCTTCAGGTGCCTGCCCCTTCTGCAGTATTAAAAACTGCACCACTATCAACTGTAACTAATCTAAAGAGAAGTCAGCTTGATGTTTCAATCTTAGTCTAGGTTAAATGAAAAGTGGAATCAGAAAGTACAAAGAAAATAATTGTTTCTTATACATTGTTTTTGGAACCAGCAGTTGAGTCTAGGCTATATGAAGATGGATGATAATCTTGAATTTATAGCATGAGCTGTTCTCCTGTCAGTCCTTAGTAAAATATTCAGTTGAATTTCACCAAAAAATTAATTCAGCCTTGTTGTAAAACTTAACTTTTTTTTACTTTTTTTTTAATACTGTTTTCATAGGTAGAGCAAAATCGAGTGAAACTTCTGAATGACAAGGCAGTTGCTAAATCACAGCTTCAAAAGAAATTAGGACAACTTCTATATCTCACTAATCTGGAGAAAGTAAGATTAATTGTTCCTTGGTGTGCTCTGTTTATGTAGTGGAAGAAACCTACCATTATTTTTATTTAAAACTTCCATTTTAAAGAAATTGTATTTTCTGTGAAGGTTCATTACATGTTGAAATTCAACGTGTCTTTCTTTGTGTTACTGTGTAGTCATAAAATTATTGTATTATATATTTTAGTTATTTGCTTAATGACACACTTACAAAACTATGAAGTAGTTTTAGATGGGTAAGACTTTAATTAAAACTAACTGGGCTGCGTTTAGTAGAAGTTTTGTAAAAATTATGTACTTCTCTGCATACCTTGCTGTTCTATAAAGCACTTACCTTCTTAGGCAGAAGGGCAATCATGTCTGGATGTTAAATAACTGTGAAAAAAATCCTGGACAAACCCCATGTATTATTTTAATCATAGTGTTCAAGTTTGTGTGATTATGCTTAAGTAAGCATAGTTAAGTGTGATTTCAGTGTTCTTACAACAATGTGAAGCTGATAGAGAATATGAATTTCTTGTTTGAAGCTTTTATTTTAGCAGGATTTTTCAAAGCTGTAGGAGAGCTGCAGATGCTATCTGAAGGACTGCAGTATGAAAAATGCTCCTTTTACTTACCATAACTTACATGTTTTAACAACTCCTCAAGATGGACTCTATTCATGAATGTTTTTTAATTTGCTTACAGTGTTTTTTCTTTGTTAAGGACTTCATTATTCATTTTTTTCTAGAAGCTTGTTTTAAATATAGAACAACTTTTTATTTGTTGTAACACTAAGTTTACGTTTGTTTCTAATTTATAGTCTCAGGATAAAACTACTGGGGAAGTTAACCCAGAGCCATGTCCAATCTGTGCACGTCAGCTGGGAAGACAGGTAAGGTATACTTAGTCAGCAGCTTTCAATTTTAGAATATCTTTACCTCGAGCTGAGTCAGTTGTGTGTCAAATTTTTAAACCTGATTTGAAATCAACATTGCATTGAAACAGAGGAAATAAACTCTTTGCTGTAATCTACCAACCAGTCTTTCCCCTGAAATCTTACTCAGATGCAAACACCTCTGTTGCCTTTAGCTTTTGACATCAGTGCTGAAGTGTTCCAAAAATGTGTTCCTGATTGTTTTATAACTCTGAAGTTATGTTTTTGTCAGAAACATTTGCTATTTATAAGCTAAAAGAATGAAGAAATAGAATGAAGAAATAGATAAGATTCTGTAGTATACTACTGTGTTTTCCTGTAACTGCTCTTCTTAGTATTATTTCTTCTAAAGAAATAGATGGAAAACTTTGAAATTCAGACATTAGCAGCTGAAGCGCTAAAAATTATAAAATTCTTCAGTTTTATCTGAGCCATGAAAAGAAATTGATTTTTCTGTGCTTTGATCCAAAACTAATACTCTTGTGTTGTGTTGTTTGTTTTTTCATTTCCTGCATAGTGGGCAGTGCTGACATGTGGACATTGTTTTTGTAATGAGTGTGTAGCTATCATCATCCAACAGTACAGCGTGGGCAGCCGCCGGAGCTCCATTAAATGTGCCATTTGCCGGCAAACAACATCCCATAAAGAGATATCATATGTCTTCACTGCTGAAGCTGCAAATCAAGAGGATGATATTCCTGTAAAGGTGTGTTGTTTGTATGAGCTTTGTGGCCCAAACTTGCTCAGCAGTGTGTATTTAGTGTGTTTTGCTGCACTTAGGCAGAAAAGTCCACTATATAGTTTTATAAAGAGGTTGTCCTAATGACAAAAGTTAATGAGCCTCTAGGCACAAATGTGTAGGAATTCAGTCCTAATTGCACTGGTTTATTTACTTTGGAACAGAGGGTTTGCATTTGAAGGAAGGTAGGGGTGGAGTAAGAGACAGCGTCTCTGTGAGTCCTTAGCAATACTGGCATATATAGAGCACAGGTGCATTTTGGCATTGCACGAGTCTGTTGTAGAATTGTGTTTACAAAACAACTGTGGTTATTGCAGTTAAAATAGAGTATTCTGGACTAAAATGCAAAGGTGAAAGAGTAATATTGGTAATATTTTGATTTAGATGATATTGCTGTCTTTAGTTAAAATATTATGATAGTACAGCTGGACATACAGTCATAACTTTAATCTGGTTACTATAGTTAAAAGCAATAACTAGATGTGCTGGCAGACTTGCATGGTGTCTGTGCAAGTCTCCTCGAACACTGCAGGTATTCTAGGGTTGCTGACCTGTATTGAAGACAATGCTACCACATTCACACTACTTATTTCAGCCTTCCTGGACAAATGGAATTCCATTTTATGATTTGATTCCAGTTATTAGGTTTGAAGTAGTTGACAGTGTGTGGCACCAGGGGGAGTAAATAGGCTGTATTTTTAAAGTGCTGATTTTTAGAACCTCACTCCATGCAAGGTTTTTGCACATTAATTCTTCAGAGTTTAGAGATATCACCCCATTTCTAACCAGTTTTCGAATGGGTTTTATAAATTACATTAATATTAAAATAACTAGAACAAGCGAATTTCATAAATGGAACACAGAAGGAACACATCATCTGCTGTCCTGTGTCAAGGGTTGATGTATTTCTGCATCAAAACCTTTGGACAAAGCAAGAATAAAGCAAAGGTATGAATTCGTGTGAGCAAGGCTCGCTCTTATTTCATGAAAAATTAACAATTTTCTCAATCCCTCTGGTCTCTCAGTATTCACTACCTCTTTCTTTTCCTGTGTCCTACACATCTTACTCTGTATTGTACCAGCACTAACCATCTTAATGCTGTAGATGCAAAGGGACTACTGTAAATGGGAGTATTTTATACTGAGAAGGGGATTTACTGGCATCCCTGCATGTTTTGCTTCTGTGAAGCTTCCTGTGTCTGGTCAGTGTTACAGTGGGTATTGCCAGCCTGTCATCTGAGACAGGAATGGTTTGTTAGAGGGTAGTTTTGGTTCTAATGTGTGCTGTTCTGTAATTCATTAGAACTAGCTAATTTCATTATAAACATTCATCTGGATATTCAACACAATTACAGACTCACAGTGCAGGGGTAATGAGTGGGGTAACATTTTTTTTTTAAAGACAGACTGAAAACCATGGACTCAAATATCAGGGGTACTTCTGTCAGTTCCATCTCCATAAGTATTGAGAACAAAATTGAATTCTTTTTGTGTACTGTACAACAAAGCTTTAGTCAGTTGTTAGTTCAATAAGTCTAATACAGTTTGTCTAATATAAGTGAAGGGGTGAAGATCTTTGCAGACTTAGTTATCTTGTTTAAAAAATAGAGCAAAAAGACTGTAACCACTTTGATCGTTGTGCTGTTCTTTTCTTTGCCGTATTTCCTCTTACCAGCTACTGTCTGTTATAGCAGGGAAAAATGAGACTTAGGATAAGGTCTAAAAACAGTCTCTGGGGAAAAGAGAGTCAGAGCAGATTAGCTAGAAGTGTCATCACCGAATCAGAGATGAATGGTATTGGAAAAGCACATAAATGACCCTCAAATTATATAGGAAGTACTAAAAGTTAGTCTTGCACCTCCTAACTGGAGGTGTTTATGATTGGCAGGCAGCTGCCTTCAGGCTGCAAATGTGTCATCTTGCAGATCATAACGTTTGCTGACATAAGCATTTTTTAACTGTCCATCTGACTTTGGAAACAGTTAATATATCTCAGGTGCAGCAGAAATGACATGGAATAAAGCTGGTTTATTTTTGTGTCTGTGACACAGGGTTGGAATCACTGTGGAACACCCTGGGAAATAAAATGGTGCCACTTATTGCAACCTTTGTTAAAACAGTCTGCAGCAAGCCTTTACAAGTATTTTTGGAGTGTTCATTTAGGTGCCTAACGTATGAACGGTCAGGCAGCCCAACATTGGTTCCCAGCTTGTGCCTAGACTGCTGACATCCTTCCCAGCTGATTCTGCAAGCTGCATGACTTCAGTGAATTTGATCTGTCATTGTAGCAAGCCAACATAGTTAATTCAGTGTTCAAAAGACAGGTGCAGACAGAAATAAAACAGTATGTCCAGCTGAAATCTAGCACAGTTTGACATTACTATGCATGTAGCAACTAGTAAGGAATTGAGGCTTCTTAAAAATCACGTTAGGTAAAATTGCTGTAATACAAAGTACATACTCAAGGAAATGGAATAAGAACTTTCTCAGAATCCTCTTGCTTACTTAAGTGGAAAGGGAAGAGTACTTAAAGTGGACAAGAAGTAGATATAGTATTGTATTCATTAAGCACTGAAATGCTTCTGAATGCAGAATATGAAGGTGTTTTCATTGCAGCATGCAATACTTGAGAAATGATTTAATTATATTTACCTTTCCTTGCTATTTTGAACATAATTAACAAGCTTCATAGTACTGAACATTAGTTTAGTGCTGCCAGAGTGAGAAACAAATGCAGAAGAAATAGCATTCATGTAGGTTTATTTCATGGTCAGTTTTGAAGAGGTATGAAGGTAGGGAAATGTAAATGGGCATTTGGAAGGTTCTTTAAAGACTGTGCCCCTACGTTAAACCTCAGGAGGCCTTAATGAGCATGTTTGGTGCACCTGCACTGTTGGGTTAATCCTTCCTCCTGCATGAAGGACGGGATAGGTGTGTTTGTGTGGCACTTCATTCTTCTGTGTGCTGCATGTCCTGTAATACACTGCTCATCCTATAGCAGTGTGCTGTGAGAGAGGGGTAAAAGCAGTTCAGTGCTACTTAACCTGCCCTACCTTCAGGTTAATAATTCTTAAATTTGTGTAAAATACATAAGAGTCCTAATAGAAAATTATTTAATAAAACAGTGAATGTGGAAGAAGTTGTTTACTATCCTACTTTGCTAATGCTCTTCATTGACTTTTCAAAGGGAAGTCACTCTACCAAAGTGGAAGCTGTGGTCCGAACACTGAAGAGAATTCAATTTAAAGATCCAGGGGCCAAATCCTTAGTTTTCTCAACGGTATTAATCACCATTTTCTGTCTTATCTTTGTGTGTGTGTTTGAATTGAAAGTGCTCATAATATTTTCAGGAATTAGTTTAGCTACCAAAACGTTGAATCACTGTACAGCCACTTGATTGTTCTGAGAATTTGTAGGGCAAGTCATGTAACTGGGACATGAACAATGGTCATAGTCAGCAGATCTAAAAGCTTGTTTCTTTAAAGGGCAAACACTTGGATTTGTATGTGAGCCTTAGAAAGTCTAGATATTTCAAATTTAATGTCCAGATATTTTTGATACATTGTAAAATTGTTACTGTGATAGCTACCAGTTTCTTTTATTCAAGCTAATCTCTTTAGTTTAGTTTTAGGAAAGAATTAGTTCCTAGCACACAGATTTTTATTTTTTTATGGGGTTTTTTAATATTACAAATGCTAGTATTTTGAAAGCTTTTTAATCTACTGTTTCTTAGGAAAGTTACTATTTTTTAGTTGCCATTGCTGTTTGTAATGTTGAGTTACTTGTGTTGTGTGGTTTTGTTTCTATTCTTTTTACAGTGGCAAGATGTGTTGGACATAATTTCAAAAGCTTTGTATGACAACAACATGATTTTTTCTCAGATCAATGGAATTAGTAAATTTCAGGTACATAAAGGATATTTTTCTTAAAATTATTTTCAGTGGGAAAATCATAGTTCATAGAAGTTAATTTGATCCTTTTACTTTGTTGCTTTGTTTGAGAAACGAAGAGCAGCAAATTTGCTTGGCAGAAGCTTTGATCTCTAACTCGTTCATGTTAAAAATCATAATCACAAAAAACCCCAGTTTAAAGCATTTAGAGTATAAACAGGTACATCCACTTTTGAGAAAGAAGCAGTGGAATGGATGCTAAGGATGAGACACACTCATCAGTGTTGCAAGACGTTCATGCCGCCTTGATGCCTTTCAAGTATCTGTTCTGGGATGACAGGTCATGGATCAGTCAGGCTGCACTATTTGTCACTCTGGAGCCTCTGTTAGCTGTAATAATGCCTTGAAAATATAGTCACATCTGCTACACTCTTCACTGAGGAGCTTTTGTCTGTGATGTTTGCCTTTTAGGAAAATCTTTCTGCATTTAAATACGATCCCAACATCAATATTTTGCTGCTGCCTCTTCACACTGGTTCCAATGGACTAAACATCATCGAGGCAACTCATGTTCTGCTTGTGGAACCCATTCTGAACCCAGCACATGAGCTCCAGGCTATCGGCAGGGTACATCGTATTGGCCAAACAAAGTAAGATTTAAAATTGTGTTGAGTGGTTTAGATATGGCCCAGAATAGATCTGCATGCTGTAATCAGAATTAATCTAGTTCACTGAATTTCTCAGTTTTGGAGATGGGGTATTCATAGGAATCCTAGTTTTAAAGATGATCATATAAGGGACAGAAAGATTAAAATAAAATAACTTTGCTGAAAATTCACAGTGTGTATTTTAGGGAGTTCTTTGCTGCTACAGGGGTAAGGAGCAGAAGCAAATTGTTTGGGCATTTAGGAAAAATGTAGGTCCTTGAGTCTAAAATTCTGAAAAACCTTGTTCAGCTGCTGCCCTATTTTCTCTGTGCCATTGATGCCTTAGTTTTTAACTTGGAAGTTCTGCTTGCAAACATGTCCAGAAATGCCTTAGCTTTGCAAGTCCAAGCACTCATCATTTATGCCACATGTGGCTAAGTTCAGGCATGGCTTTTCCAAGTTTCTTTGAGAGGCTCCTAACTGGTCATTCCCAGCTCCGGATTAGGAGCCACATGAATCGTTGGGATTTTTTTGTTTACATGTTTTGGGGGGTTGTTTGCTTTTAGGTTTTGTTTTTTCCAAAAAGAAAGTTATAGCACATTCTCTTTAGAACTGATTAGTTTTTAAATCACAGTTCTGCTCTCACCCCCATCTGAGTCTTTTTGTAGACATTAAAGAGTTTGTTTTAGTGTTGTCGATTTTACACAGGTAGTACTGAACACTTAACAAAGCTTTTGGGAATTTCGTTCTGAACAGATAAGATGTCTATGTTCTTCCTTAGGTTTCATGTCACTTGAAAAAAATAAATTTAAAAGCCCTATACATGAAGAAGAAAAATAGTTGGAATCAATTCTGGAATAAGAACATTCTAGAATAATAGTGGGGAAATGGAGGCAAAGCGAGAGGCTGAAAAGGAATGTGTATGTGAAAGAATGTTTATGTACAGGTGGATATTTGTGTGTGTCAGTAAAGATTTTGAACTAACTGTGAGGGCATAGGAAAGATTGACTGGAACAGCCTGCGTGGTAATTTTACATGATGCTGGCACGAAAAACCTTGCAATAAAACCAACAAGAATGTGCTGTACTTTTTAAGAATTAAGACTTCAGCAAGGCTTACTTTGAATAAGGGCTGTGTTCCAAGTACAGTGAGCATAAGGGAGTATCTGTTTAGTGTCACTAGTGCAACAATTGTCAGCTCAGTTGAGTTCTTATTTATGTCTCTCTTTCGGGATAGACATTTGCCTACGAATCCCAAAGTATTCCCCCAGCATTCTTCTGTGAAGTGTTACCTGCCAAAGTTTCAACTTTAGATCTGAAAACCATCTGAGCACTTTCAAGGGTTCTTATCTTGAAAAGTGTTTGTATTGGGGAGCTTGGGCTGATTTTTCATTTTTGTCTTTGGAGCTGACTCTCTTCCATTTTCCTTTTTTGTGTCTGACACTTTTTTATTCCTGCTTTCCTTTTGAAAGTTTATTTCATAAATGGAGCTCTCATCCTGTGTTATGTTTATTGGCATTTTGGGGTTTATGTTTTACCACTGTTTACAATTCCATATGTACTGACTGCAGTTACTGACTTGTAAAAGAAAAATGACAATATTTTGCCCTCTTCAAAAGCAGTATTATTAAAACTCTGGGAATCAGCTTTAATTACCCATCACACTAAGCTCTTGTCTCTTTAAACAACTGGTGACAATGCAGTATGAACACTGTATATAACCAGTGGGCCAAACTGATTGCTTTAGGCTCTTGAGGAGTGTTTGTTTATAGCACAGACACAGAAAGCAGAACTTTGCCCAGCATCTGCGTTAGAATTTTAGTTAGTACTGCTTATACTTATTTTGTAAGTGATCCAGCAAAGTGGAAGTGCTGCTCAGGGAGGCACTAAGCACCCTGAAATGTCAGTGGAAGTTGTTAATCACCTTGTAAGATTTTTTTTCTTAAAATACAGAGGCATTTTTTCAACAATCTTAGAAGAAATTAGTATGAGGCAAAATTATGGTCATGATCTTCAGCAGTAGCAATATCACTTCTGCTCACTTATGGTCTTGTTTTCTTTTTTTTAAATGCATTCAGATCTACCATTGTTCATAGATTCCTGATAAAAGCAACAATAGAAGAGAGAATGCAGACTATGCTGAAAACTGTAGATAGAAGGTATGTGTTGATTTTTTAAAACAGCATTATTGCACTGAAAAGGAAAAGGTGGTTCTCGACCATACTTTCCTTAAGTTAGGTATGCATATAAACTTCCACTGTTCTCCTTCAAATAGTTTGGAGTGGCAAAAAAAGATTTAAGACTAGAAAAATTTTAACCTTGTTCCTGTAACAATGAAGTTTAAGGTATTTTACATCTTAGGAAAATACTTTGCTTATGTTTTGTGTATTTTAGGTCATAAAACCCCAATCAATAATTATGTGTTATGACTTATCTTTTCAGTTTACCTATTGCCATTAGTACAAAAGCATTGCAGATGATTGAGTAATACTAAGGCTACCCTTGGAGGGGCAGATGTTGTGGGCTTGAATATGGGACATGAATTTTCTTCTGTTACTTTGAAACTCTACCAACCTAGTCCAACAGTGCTGTGTCGCACTGGTTGATTTCACAGTCAGTGCAAGCATTGCCCAGATGCTAGCTCATACATCACTTTGTAAGGTTTGTACCTTTTTATGTATACACATGACAAATCTAGGAAGAGGCCTTAGTTCAAGGAAATTTTGCCTGTTACAGATTGTGAAACTGAAAATTTACATGCACAACTTTGGCTGTAGTTATGAAATATTTCAGTTTCAGCTTTGGAAGAATGCTTTATTCAGTTTCCCTCTCTGTGAAGCTGTGCTACTTTTGCATGTAAAATTTGGATAAATGTGCAGTGGTTGAATGATCCCATGAGGGCTAATGTTTTGCAAGTAATATTTTAGACCTTATGCTTGAAAGCTGAAGCCAAACCCTTAAATGTTAAGAGGGAAAAGCAGATTATCTCATGTTCTACTGCCTTTGCAGTGTTTGGTGTTGACCGGTGTTAGGGACAGTAGATGAACTTTGTACCTTACTTAGAAGTACAAGAGCAGTAGCTGATTGGTGCATGTGTACAGAAAGTGTTGTCCTGCTGAGCTTCACAGCTGAGCAGTTATTGACTCTGAACTGTATGGTCTGTCTTCAGGGCACACAGCTTGTTACTTACGTTGGTTCTCTCTCTGATGCCCACATGCAATTTTTTTCCCACAGCCACACGAGCTCTTCCATGAAACAGTCAGAAGCCTCAGTGTTGACAGTGGCAGATTTGGCTGACCTTTTTACAGATGAAACTGAAGAACTTGAGTAAAAACCTTGGTTTGGCCTAAGGAAATCAGAGGGTACCTGACCCAATAAGCACCAGGATATAATCCACTTGATCTTTCATTCCTGTAAACATCATCTAACATTTGTCCATAACAGAGCAATTGGAATTGAGAAATCTTAATTACTGTTTTATTCTTTGGTAAAGTTAATAGCAGCACACACTTCTTATGGCACTGGATAAAAGTTGCACTTTGCACATTATACGAAAACATGGATTTAATTCCCAAAGAGTATTTGAGCTGAATGCCGAAACTGAGATCTTGGACCCTTGGTTGAGAGGATTTTTAACATCAGGTTTGATTGGCAAATAGCTCAGTCTGAGAGCAAAACTATGTGGGTGGTTGGGTGGGAAAGGGAAGCAGAAAAATACAGATCTAACTTTTTTTACTGTACAAAGAGTTGTTAGAAAGAATGACTGTAAATTACTATTCTTCTAGAAAGGGCTTGTTAGATTTAATGCAGAGTTACTAAATGTCTTATTGTTAACACTTCAAATGGCTAATATTTACTAATAATTTGGATATTTGTATTAGGCCTTTAGATATTCACAAAGACTTGTGACAGTTAAATATTTAATTGTTAATGCTTACTGCAAAAAGATGATAATTAAATGATGCTTTTTGTATGTGTGTTGGTCTGGTGATCAGTTAAAGACTTAAACTTACTGTACATGTTTTCACTTGAAGCCATGATTCATTTAGTGCTCTTAAAAAAAAAGGGCATTTGTTACAGAATTTTCAAAAAATTAATTGGTTAAACTGCTGATCACTTCGTAATCATATGGTGCGTTTGTGCATTTTTTTCACCCTGATCTTTTTGTCTAGTTCTTCCCCCTTAAAGATGCATCAATCTAAATATTGAAAATAGATGAAATTAAGGTAGGCAGTCTAATCACCAGGTTAGATAAACAGTGGAGAGAATTGGAACTTTTGTGACACTTCATCCATAGATATGCAAGATCACTCTACTCATCTCCGTTAAGCATAGAGAGTCTGGAAAACAAATCCAGGCTAACCTTTAGACTGCTGAAAGTAGGCAAGATAAATTTTAAGCCTCTCAGCATAAGTTATGGATGGCCATTTTCGTAACATTTGTTTCTGAAGGTATTACAGAAGCAAACACAGTTACCCAGCTGATGTTAAACACAACTTTGTGTTCAGAGAGTGGGCAAATGTGTATGCATAACAACTTCCCTCACATTAAAATATTCACTGTTTCAGTAGACAATGTTTTTTGTATATTTTAAAAATCTTACTTGAGGTTGAAATTAAAATGAGTCCTTTAAGAAATCCCATCTTAAAATTTTTACTCTAATCATGTCTGCTAAATAGATTTGCCACATAGTTAATGAGCTTCTTGAGTTCTGTTTTCAGTTGTACTACATTTGAGTTGCACCAGATATTAAGCTTACCCACACAGCAGACAAGTTTCCACTGCTGACAAAAAATGTGAATAGAATTTGCCTGAATAACACTGCATCAAGAAGTGAGGTTTTTGCATTTATATTCTGTTGGCCTTCTGGACCAATTAGATTCTTTTTTCTAAAGACTATTTGAGTAACCTAACAGACAACATATCTCTCTTTCCCATAGTTGTTATATGTTTCTCTTAGTTTCCTTAGCCCAGAAAGCGAACCATACCCTGGGCTGCATCAAAAGGAGTGTGGCCAGCAGGCCAAGGGAGGTGATTGTTCTCCTCTACTCCACTCTGATGAAACCCCACCTGGCATGCTGCATCCAGCTCTGAGGCCCCCAACAGAAGAAAGATGTTGACCTGTTGGAGTGCCACTAAGATGATCACAGGGCTGGAGCACCTCTCTCACATGCTGAGAGAGCTGGGACTTCCAGTACCTGAAGGAGGCCTACAAGAAGGGTGGAGAGGAGCTTCTTACAAGGGCAGGTAGTGATAGGACAGGAGGCAATGACTTTAAACTGACAGAAGGCAGGTTTAGATTGAATATTAGGAAGAAGTTTATCACTGTGAGGGTGGTGAGGCACTGGAGCAGGTTGCTCAGAGAGGCTGTGGACTCCCCATCTCTGTAAGCATTCAAGACCAGTTTAGATGGAGCCCTGAGCAACCTGGTCTAGTGGAAGGTGTCCCTGCCCATGATGGGGGGGTTGGAATAGGTCTTTAAGGTCCCTTCCAACCCAAACCATTCTATGATTCTCTAAGTACATTTTGGTTTTGGAGATTACTGATTTTTTGCAGCAAGGAAAAGAGAATAAATAGTAGACTTTTCTGTAAATGAGATTGATTAGTTTGCACTGTGACATCTCCATCCTTGAACATATTGGGAACTCAAACAACTCTGAGCAACCTGATCCAGCTTCAGAGTTGATTCTGCTGTGGGTGGTATGTTGGACCAGATGACCTCCATGGATTCCTTCCAGACTAAATTATTCTATACTGTACTGGAGATCATGCTGTACAGACACTCCAGGAACTCTGAGGGCAGCAACATTCCAGTTTCCTCATCTTCAGATAATTTTGATACTGTGTAGCAGTGTGACTGCACAAGAAGCTGCTGTTCACTCTGAAAAATGACATATCTGTGTTAAAAACTGTAGAAGCACATAGTGGTTTCATTCACAACTCCTACTTTAATTAACTAGATGTGGGAAGAATAGTTGTCAGTAAATGTGAAGACAGAGGCAAACTGAAAAATGTCTGCTATGAGAGGCTTCTCAAGCTCTCCAGTTTTTTGGCTTATTTATGTAAAGATATGGTTTCGTTGTTTATTTACAAACATGTGGCTTTTGAATTCCTAATCAAAAGCATAGCTTCTCATCAAGCAGTGCATGAATCTTTAGTCCTGACTTACCTTGTTTTATGCCTATATAACAGGATGGAATGCCAGAGATCTGGTTCTAGGTACTCTCCTGACTGCCCTGGAGCATCAGGACCTAGAGCTCAAGGTATTACATTGAAATGTGTACACAAGTCATGTTCAAGCACCTCTTGAAGCTGGAAGATTGAACTGTTGTTCATTTACCCCTGTTCTGCACCACTGTAGAAGCAGATGTTGAATTTCAGTCTTAACTTTTTATATTTCTGATTTTTATATTGTACAGCTAATACATAAAAAGGACGTGATAATCTAATTACTGAGTAATCAGTGAGGCTTTTACTTGCCAAGTCTGTTGGTTTGGGATTTATAAAGTGTACCTGAACCACTATCAGCAATCACAGTGCATCCATTCTCCTTTAGAAGAGGAGGAAAGAATAGGTAACTACTGATTCACTGTAGGATTGGATTCAAGTCCTAAGTAGTCACTCTACATCTTCAGTCACACACTGTATAAAGAGGACAGTTAGTTAACTTGTAGCTTTCAAATGTAGCTAAGGAATTGAGTCATCTGGGGTGGAAGTAAATGATCTAAGGTTTCTTAAGTACTAGAATAACTCTCTGTAGACAATTGGATTGTGAGATATCTGTAAATCACTGGCTCAGTTTCCTTCTGTGTACAAGATGTCAGCCTTCCAGGGCTTGAATTCCGAAGTTCTTTGTTTTGTGTATTTATAGAGCTCACACAAGCAAGTGCCCAGCCCCATTCATTCAACTGGACACATATCAAATTTTATCAGTTTAGGAACAGGTGTCATTGTTTCCATGATGTAACATCCCTTGGTCTGATAGCAACCTTCACATCAGGTAGAAACTACCTTTCTGAATTCTGCTGATTGCTACAGGCTGTCTCAAAATATAAATTGTTGGTGTAGGCTGGCTTAGATAGTTGTGGGGTTTTTTTATGCTGTCTTCCTCCTATCCTATGGGGGCTAGTCAGCTAGTAGGATTCATGTTACATTGCTGTGAATTGTCCTCTCTTTCTGCTAACAGGTTATCATAGTTTGTCAGACTTTCTCTTGACTATGTCATTTGGTTTAGGAAGAAATCTAGACTGCCTTTGTTACCCTCATGGAGTTTTATCTGTCACTCTTGAGATGGAGGACCATGAGTGTGGGAACAGTGACTTTCCATTTGTTGATGCTGAAATTGTAAGGCACCAGCTGTATTGACTGAATTGTTCAGAAGTCCATGAGGCCTGATTGGATTCATCCCAGCATTCTGAAGGAGCTGCTGTATGTTATGGAAGACCCCTGACAATCATCTACTAAAGGTCTAGGAAGGTGACTAGAAGCTAGCTAATGTTACTCAGGTTCTCAAGAAGGACATGAGGGAAGACCCAGGGAACTACAGACCTGTTAGTCTAACCTCAGTTCCTGGAAAAATGATAGAAATTATACTGGTACTATTGAAAGATGTTTATAGAATAATATAGTCAGCATGAGTTCACAAAGGAAAAGTCCAGTCCTGTTTAAATGGATGTTAGGAAGCACTTCTTCACTGAGAGGGTGGTAAAACACTGGAACAGGCTTTTTAGAGTGGTGGTCGACGTCCCATGGCTGTCAATGTTTAAGAGGCATTTGGACAATGTCCTTAACAACATGCTTCAACATTTGTTCAGCCCTGAACTGCTCAGGCAGTTGGACTAGGTGATTGTTGTAGGTTCCTTCCCACTGAAAATATTCCATTCTGTTCTACTCTGTAAGAGTATGGCACTTTAAAGCATCATGATGCACTCAATCATTTTGAGTTACTTGTTCTGCACTAATAGAGCATATGTATATATTCATATACACATTGAGCATGTCATCTTGGACAACCAAATAATTACTATGAAAATTACACATTGATGTAGAGCCACTGCTCCATTGCATGCTTCATATGCACGTAGAAAAAAATGAGCTTTTGGGGGTACATTGGTAAGATAAGGAATACATTTTATAGATAACAGACAAAGCTATTACATTAGATATATTTATTTTTTATTCTTCTGGTGTGACATTTTTTTGTTCTCCTTCTTTTAAGAATACTTGGTTTGTATTCTGCACTGTATGATTCTGTGATTCTATGAAGCAACACTAGGGCACGTGGTGAGGAAATAGGGGGCACATCTGTCTGAGGTGATGAGCACCTACTTTTACATCACCAAACTGGAGGTTGATTTAAGCAATGTGAAAGTCAAGGTAAGTCTTTTGGGGGAGAATGGGGGGAAATACTATTTTTATGTAATTTCTAAGCATTACTATATTGGTTT